TCTGTATACGACCAGTCATGTCCTACGCGGGCCCCGTCTTTGCCCACGCAAACCCTAATATTTTAAATGAACTCCGAATAGTTCAGAACCTCTTCTGTCGTCGAGCTGCGAACGCACCTTGGTACGTCCGTAATGCCGACCTTCATCGGGACTTAGAGCTCCCAACAATTCAACAATTTTTTAAAAAACTCTCTGAGAACTTCTTCAAAGCCTCAGAGTCGCACCCAAACCATTTAATTCGTGAGGCAGCTTCTTATGCAGCCCCACCCCCCTCTCGCTATCGTGTCCGCAGGCCGAGAAACTCTCTCTCGGACCCGCCTAATAAACTTTCAAACGACCTGAACTGTCTCCTGGCAGCTCAGGCCAACTCTAATTAAATAAAATTATTGAAATAACTAACATTAATTTGCCTTCGTAGGCACTCCCTCAGCGGCACTTAGCCGCCTGCGCCCTCTTTTCCCAAAAGAGGGTCGCTCATGATAAGGCACAATAGAGCTTAATCAGCAGGTTGCCTGTCCCCAAAGGCGGTTTTTAGAGGGTATCACTTAGGGTCCCCGGTAGGACAGTGAGCCCCTCATAACCACGATAGACCGGCTATCGTGGTATGCGTAATGCATTTTCCGCCTCCCTACGTATAGGGTAGCCCTTTAATTGCTTCGGGCGCAAAAAAAAAAGCGACTAATGTCTCAGTAGCTACTGTACGGCGCACCGCAACACCAGATTTTATGGAAGGCATATCACCTCTTCCTTTATACATTAAATACTTTATAGTAGATAATAAAATAACGGACATGAATATCTGCAACATTACTGTATCAAAGTAAAAGTTGATGTGTTCGAGTAAACATTTTCATAAAGTCGCCGAAAATATTAAATTACGAATTGAAATAATAAAGGTATCCAATAATTTTGCCCGACAGTGTACCTACCTCCCACCCATTGAAGTAATATGTACTTACAGTAATATGTACATACATACTAGAACTGCTATTTCAAACAAAAAATGTCCGCTACTCTGTGTTAGCGCGGTTGTTTTTTTATCATAGAATAAACATAGGTAGAATGATCAGTAGGTAATAGAAGATTGTATTGTTAAATAGGTAAATTATATTAAAAACAATTTTTAAATTTTGTCAATTATTTTGTATATTATATTTGTTTATTTAATATAATATTACATAATATTATATCACAATTACATTTTAATGATATTTTTATCTCAATATTTTATAAAGTATATTTATAAAATATTTTATATTTATATAAAGTCAAATATAAAAAAACATACTAAATTTATGTTTTACAAAACTTATTAATATAACATTTAAATTACAAATATATTTATTTAAATTAGAATAAGAGTCGTTCATAAATGCTGGGCACGCGAGAGTTAAAATGGACGAATTTATTCCACTTTGACTTTGATGTGGAAACCTAAAAATAAAATAAAAAGATAATGAGCAGATTTAAATATAAAACAATTTAGCCTAATTACGATAACTTATATATGTTTCTACAAAAAAAAAATGTATATACTAATATATTCGTCCTATAATTAAGTACCCACAGAAATGTCGCATCTGAACAAATTAATTTCATAATCTATATTCCATGACACGAGATGGCGTTAGTTAGAAATAATTTGTTTTATTATTTATTACTTTTTTATTGATTACGTATCTTGATAACCCATGAAGAGTAATTCCTTGATTTACTGACATTTATTGAATTATTTGTGCAATATCTAAGTATACACTACGGCATATATTTATCAAGAGATTTTTTTAAATCAACACAAGACGCGATAACTCTACAAGCGCCTAGCGAGTACTGATTGAAGTGCGGTGTACGCACCGCAGTTGAATGGAACAGAGTAGCTGAATGCAGTGTCGCCTCTAGTACGTAGTACGTAATAGCTCAATGCTCCCACCACAGTTTATCTGTGCTCACCACTCGTGTCGGCAACGTGTACAGTCTACAAAATGTTACAAACAAAACAGTATATAGTGATCTGTGCTGTGCTACAAAATTTCCACTTCTCTAACCTCCATGATTCTTTCCATAGATTAATGTATATATACTAGAGCTACAGAATTCTTTCATACAGTTCAAAGACAATGTACGTGACATGGCGGTCTGAAACGTTATGGTTTCTCTATCTGTGCCCCTATATATAAAAAAGTACTCTGTGCTGTGCCCTGTTTATCAAAACTTACAAGCCTTGTATTACAAGCAATTTTCCTGTAAAAAAATAATTATTACAAATATGTGTTTATCAAAACTATACGTGTAAATTACAAGTTACAAGGGTCATTATTTATTTCACAAGTATATTTTTACACTTGTATTCGTGAGTTTGTTCATCAAAAATCTCTTGTAAGTTACAATTTGTAGAAAATCATAGCAAATCCAAAGAGTGTCTGGCGACTCTCCGTCTTACAAGTGTCACAAGTAGTATTGTAATATTTTTTAAATTAGATTATTCTTTTTAAAATGTGGTCAAGTGACTCAAGCGATGATGAAAATATTAGAATAATGGAACCAAGAACATATAGAACAAGAATTGACAACGGTCATCTGGAGCCGACCTATGAATTTAATGAAAGGTTTCGACTTAAAGCTGAAAAATTGGAACAATTAATTAACATTTTGGGTAGCCATTTAGAAAGAAATAGAAACAGAAACCACGCCCTGTCAACTAAATTAATATTACAAATAGCTCTACATTAGTTGGGAACCGTAGGTCAATACCATGCAGTTTCTGACATGCACGGTGTAACAAAAGGCAGTGTATGCAATGCAGTCTACAGTGTTGTAGCAGCCATCAATACCGTAATGTTTGAAAACTACGTTCAATGGCCGAATGATATGCCGGAGGTGGTACAGAAGTTTCATATGTTGAAAGGAATGCCATTAATTTGTGGCTGTCTAGATGGTACCTTGATAAAAATTGATGCCCCACATCAACATGAAGAAGTATTCGTAGATCGACACGGAAATCATTCCATTAACTATTTGGTTGTGTGCGGTCCTGACAAAAAGTTTTACTATTCCTATGCTAATTGGCCCGGAAGCACCCATGACAGTAGAGTTTTAAGAAACAGTCAGTTAAATGAGCAATTTGAAAAATACTGGAGACCTATTGCACAAGGGGTTCTCCTTGGCGACTCTGCGTACCTCTGAAGGAATGGCTCGTTACTCCTATAGTAATAGATGGCAACGATGAAACAAATATCAGATTTCTTAATGCTCATAAATCGACTCAGCGTGTTATTGAAAATGCTATTGGAATTTTGAAAGAAAAGTTTCCATGCTTAAATTATTTAAGAATTCAACCCACAATTGCTTGCAATATTTTTAATTGCTGCGTGACCGTGTAACTTTATTAAAGAAACTGAAAATGAAGACGACGAGTTCTCAAAACGAAAACTACTCTGATTCTGATTCTGATGAATGTATTTGAAGGCGTCCAAGACAGTGGCGAAGCTAGAGCTCCAAGCTAGAGCAAGCCTAAGATATAAATTGATAAAAATATAGATTGATGTTTTAACAGTTTTATAAAAATACACCAATCTTGATCTGTCTCCACGCTTCAATTTCATATTCAGTGCTGTCAAGGGCGTGTTTAACAAAGCACACAGAAGGCATACCACTGCTAGATAGATTGTATTACATATCAGCAATTGCATAGCTTCGGTGGCTTTGAAGAAAGCCGTTTGGGTTTGTTTAAGCGAAAGAAAAAAAATATCTACATCCAATATAATACATGAACAAAAGTAAAACATGAACGAAGTACAAACAAACTATGTACAAAATTAAAAAAAGAATTATTTACATTCTAATGAATAAGAGATAAGTGGAATCGTCTCGCTTTCTTACGGAAAGATTTAATTACGTCCACATAAAATGTTGGTGAACGTTTTAATTGTACCAATAACTGTTTTTAATTGCGATAATTGATAAGTCTGAAATACACTCTTAACCTTATGTATTATCTTAACAAAGTTTAAAGATTTCCTCTCCGATTATCACTTTAACACACTTCAATTCATCACAAGGAACACTATTATCCTCCATTGTCATTAAAAATCTTTAAAAATGCATAAATTTTGAACTCTTAATATTAAATCGCTTAAGATAAGCACACAGAGTAAATAAACATTGAAACGTGAAATGAACTTGCAAACGTATTGCCCGCGCGCCTCCGCTTTTAACAAATTTATTCCCAAAAGCCTGGCTTTAAATCTCTATACTAATTGCTATATATACAATCGTAGTTATATTTCATTATAGAATAGTTTGCCATAAGTTAGAAAGAGATCGATCGTCTTCTCGAAAGCTTCGTAAAAAGCGCACGCTATATCACCACCGTTTGAGTACCATCTTTATTTAAAATTATATTGTCGTTCGTTATTAATAAAATTTGATTTGAGTTATCCTGAATATAGCCGCATTTAATTGTATTTTCCTGAGGCCTGTGCCTTTTAATTTTGTGTTGTTTTATTGTTTTGGTCAGTTCTGAAGGCTCGACATCTAATTTTCGTTCCATTTCTAATATTTCTAGTGTTAATATGTAATTTAGCAATTCGAGGAACTCCAATTGTAGATCAAGTTTTCTTTTCTTTTTTTCGTTGTTTCGATCCTTTCCGGACAATTTTAACATTACTTTTATCCGTAAACAAACCTGCGAAAATTTTCTCCAGCCGACAAATAATAATAAATAAAAAATAACTTGTTTCAATTACTAGGTCGTTGTTTCATTTTAGCATGAGTACGATTTTTTTATTGCAGATAATTAGTTGATTTCTGTTTTTTGTGGCTGATTTACACATATCAAGTCTTTATAAATGACTTTTATGCTAAATTCATTGTTTACATGCATTAAGTCACTTAAAATTTAGTCAAATTTTAGTTAATTACTGAATATCTGTCTGCGGTGAATTCTTTGTAGCTACAAAGAATTGAGATCACCGCAGACAAAACCGCGAGAAAACCTTGCTTTACCTGCAAAACTTATCGTTTACATTTAAATTACTAGAGCAGTTTTGACTTGTTGGTTTCAGAGACAAGTCAGGAACATCATTTTGATCAATGTCACTATTGTCTAGTACTGAAGCTGAAGTCGTTGGTTTTACAACTGTTCCATCAGTCATAGGCGAATCTTTGCCCGGTTCAACATCTATTTCATTAGTTATAGGCGAATCTTTGCTTATGATCTCCAATATAAGGTCATCTATTGGAGTCAAAATGCTTTCTTTCCCGCCGCCAGTTCCAGTTGCTCTTGCATTATCTCTTTTACTCTGAAAGTAAACAAACAAAAAAGCACCTTTTAAAAATATTCTAAAAATCACTCAAAATTAAGCAATGCAAAAATAATAAAAAGATGTTCCAAAACAAGGAAAAAAAAACAACCAAAGATGTTTTATAGGTACACATACCGTGTTGCTAACACATCGCACCGTTCACAGTGACGCCAATCTTTGATTCATGTGTGCGTGAGGTGTTTGATTCATGCCACGTGACGCGCATATCTTACGTACCATGCCTGCATTAGTGTGCGTGACTTCGGCAATAATAGTGCGAATCGATTGCCCAAAAATTTGGGAGATTTTATATTTCATTCATATTGACATACCTGAGTGTAAAATATGTGTTCGAAGCGTGTGCATTTGTGTACGTATGTGAATGGGGATATACACACACAAGGGATATGGGTGGTTATATGTGTTTTATGTAGGTCTGTACGAAAATCGCACTAAAATAGTGAAGATAGTAGTAATAAAAACTAGATATAATTAATGTAACAGTTAAAAATAAATCAAAAATCACATTAGATATTTATGTATCTAACATATATTGAACTAATCTATTATTATTGAATATGTATAGAGTACTACACTTTCGTACCTTAAAACCCAAAATATTGACGCGAAGACATTAATTATTTTTAATCTTAAGTAAAATGACGTACAAAAGTAAGTTTGGTTAAGTGTAAACTTCGGCCAAGAGATAGCAAATGTTTACTTTTTTTTAAATTTACAGTTTCATGACTAGATCAAATCATTGCGTAAAATCAATTAAATCCTGCCACTGGAAGACGATAAAAGATTGTGTGTTTAAAGGCTACATTTTGTACTGTGAAACCTGTAAATAAATAAAAAAAATATAAAATCAATGTTGATTGTGTTAGTGCTACAGGACATTATATTATAATTATATAATAAACAATAATATAACATATAACAAATAATAATATAACATAATTATTATAATAATATAATTTAATCACACAACTAAAGCCCTCATTAGTAATGTAACGGTAAAAGAATTTTCAAAATCAGTCAAGTAATTTTTGAGATAAACCAAATAAAACATATTCATAGAAAGTAGTGCCATCTATAATAAAATACATCCTACATTAGACATCTTTAATTTTACATAACACTCTAGTGGTAAAAGAATTTTCAAAATCGGCCAAGAACTGTACGCGTTTAGCTAAAAAACATATTCGTTGATGGTAGTGCCCTCTATATTAAATAATAATACATCCTACATTTCACAGTCATAATAGCATTCTAATGGTGAAATAATTTTTTAAATAGGTCAAGTAGTTTTTGAGCACCATTCCAAAAAGCGATTCAGCTTAGCCAACCGCACACACAGTAAAATCATAACCATCCTTTTTCGTTTGTAGTCGGATAAACAACCGGTTCACAACGGTTGCGTATCGGCTGCTTTGGATAAATATCCGTAGTCAACAGTTGCTTTACAATCTATTAATGACATTAAAATAGGGAAAAACATTTCATACGGTAGGCAACACTCGAATATTATTGCGCAGTATTATTACTTGTATTGATATTCAGCTTTCGTATTATTTTATCAAGAAATACACCAGAAAATTGTATATTTACTTATGAAAAGTGATGTTCTTATCTTTTTCTTTTTTCCAAGAGTAATTTTTACATGATTTCACAGCACAAACAGTCATTTTCCGAAATTAAAAACACTGGTGCGTGATGTATGTTCGCAGTGAACGTCGCTGGCGTAATGGCGAAACGATCGAACGAATACGCCAATATTGGCGCCTTTTAAATGGAAGCGTTTTAGGCGCGCGAACACGGTATCTGTACCTATAAAACATCTTTGAAAACAACAGAATTTCATATGACTTCCTACGGCCACAGAATAAATAGGTAATAGTACTACGCTATGGCTATGATATTTACCTACGACATTATTAGGTATTCATCTACTAGCTAGAGTATAATCATATACTAGAGGGTGTATTCCGTGCCATATTATTTTATATCTATCCCCATTTTATTGAAATGTGGCTTAAAATATGATTATAGTCAACTAAATCTAAGAAATACCTTTTGACAGTTGTCAAACTTAATGCACCCAGCATGCCAACTAAAAAATGGGAACGTACAATAATCGATTCTTGAAAAAATCGATATCGATTATTTAGAGTTGATAATCATTTGCAGTTTGGTTTGAATAATACCAGAATAAATTAAAAACGGATACGGATTTAACGGATGATTTAAAACACAATATTTATCAGTTTGTTTGTATTTGTTGTTACTGCTTATTTCAAGAGGCACAGTTATAAAAATTTGAGATTGAAACTTGATTAAAAATAAATTTATTCAATCACTTTCAGTACAACTACTTGAGCTGTTTAAATTATTTATTATTTGATTTTCAATAATGCAGTTAAAATTAATGTCTCTTTCAAAGCTATCCATAATATTTTGTTTTGTTTTTCTACCACTTTTCCATCCACCATCATCTTTTGTGACGTGGGCACATGCTTCAACGAATATAGAAGAAACAGTCCAAAAAGTTAAAGTCGAGTCACAAAATAAGAACACATACATAAATTACACACAGTAAACTCTCAAAACATAAACAGAAACGTTTTTTATTCAATAAAGATTATGAGTAATACGTTGAAAGTCACTTTTTTCATTTACTATTGGTTCGCAAAAAAGCCTTTGGGAAGAACCAGTAAGAAAGCCAACGGGACTAGTTAAAAAAATTGCTTACAATCATGCGTGTTACAATTTACAACACAAAACAAATTAGAAATAGCTTGGTAGCGATCATCACCCTTCCCAGGGGTTATTATCATCCATAAATTCCTCAATATTAAAATAACCCTTTTTATAGAAACTTAGTTTAATTAAGTTTTTGAACTTTGTGTGCTTACATCAAATTTTGTATATTTTATGCGATTTTGTTGTAAAAGCGTTATACATCGCTCTAAGAATGAATTACTGACTCTGTGGAGTCGAGTAACTGGTACCAAAATGGCGGGATATTTAAATTATGTAGTGGTTATCTTAGCACGGCCTTGCCTATGAGTTTTTTTGCCTACACAAATTTAATTTGCAATGTAAAAAATAAACTTGTTTTATTCATGATTCATATAATTTAAGGAAATTTGAAAATAAAAAAATAAACAATAATACACGAAAAAAATTAATGATTCGATTATTTTAATATTTTACCGATTATTTGAATATTATGCCGATTATTCGCATAACAATGAATTTTAATCATTCAAACACTACGGTGAAATATATAGCGATATATAATTGAAGCGACGTCATTGTAAAAAAAATTAATACTGGTTATTTTTAAATATTTTGCTTTGTTTAAAAAATTCGAATTTAAATTAGTGATAAAATATGTATGAAATAATGAAATGTATGTATGTAGGAATGTAGTACGACCTGTAATGAAATATAGATAACTTCATAATTCTTCGGATTTACGTAAAAGGTTATTTTAAATCGTGTGAGTACGCTTGTGCAAAGTTATTGCAGAATGATTAATGTGAAACTATAGTAAAAAAAATTCTTTGCACCTACTGTAGTAGACAGGTACATAAGTAAATAACAAAATGTATGTAATTTACAGAAAAAATTATTTTCAATTATTACAATAAGAACTTTTTAAAGTTAACGAATGTTTAAAGCGTACTTACCAAAGTAGCCCTTTTTAAATTTGAGTAAAATGTATCTCGAACATAGGTGTAATCTTTGCCTGGAGGTACAAAACCAAGCGACTGACATGTAATTAAAATATTCTTCCACTCTTCTATCTTTTTTTGTTTGGACATCCTATCGCTAAATGCACCAAATAAAATGTCTTTTTTGTCACGAATCAGTTGTATCGTACTTTATTTTGACATTTTTAAGAGCCAAATCGCCGCGAATACACTTCAAATAAAGGCGGGAATACTTTGTCGCTACTACTTTTTTGAATGTCCCATCAAAGTTGGGCACAGACAATATACCATTCAGTCATGCGTTTAAATAGGGATATTCAATAAAAAGCCAAAAAATGGCGGAAAAAGAATGCGGCACACATTTTTGATTTTAGAACTTACAAGTTTAAATTACCTACAAGTGTTAAATTTTACAAGCCCTGTAGATTTTTTTTTTGATAAACGTAATTTACACGAACTTGTAAAAATTTTCTTGTTAAGTGTAACTTGTGAACAAGTAGACTTGTGAATTTTGATAAACAGGGCACTGGTCCATGACAGTGACTTAAAACGTTATAAATAACTGAATTTTTATCGTTATAATAACGTTATAATGGTATCGTTACTTCAGCAAGACTATCGTTTTCAATATTTAATATAACGTTTTAAGAGTAACAGAACGAAATTGTGACAGGCAAATTAACGTTATAATAACGATAAATACGCGACGTTGCCAAACCCATTAATTTTCAAAAGCGTGAATCTGCCCCACTTACGAGATGGGTGAAGACTGGGATCCAATTGGTGTACTATAGTTCATAAAAGATAGCTTGATCTCTAAGACAGCTGTCAGTAAAAATTACGCCTATGAAGTCCTGAATTTCTTAGTAGTACAGACTGTACCTGTCAATGTCATACTTTATAGACATGCACTAATTAGGTCGGCATGGCCCGAAATTCAGGCAACTTTAGACATTGGCATGAGTCAAATACAAATAATCTTGCATGAACAATTAGGTGTAAAAAAGTTGTTTTCCCGATGGATACCGCATTCGTTCTGTGAAGAGCAAAAAGCGGCTCGCGTTACTTGGTCCGTCAGAAGTCTCGAAAGATTCCACTCAGGATCCTCAAATGCTGTATACAACATCGTATCAGGTGACGAATCCTGGATATACGCGTACGAACCCGAAACAAAAAACCAGTCACGAGTTTGGGTGTTCAAAAATGAGTTAAAACCAACAATAATTGTTCGTTCACGGAGTGTTGCAAAAAAAAATGGTGGCCACGTTTGCCTCCAAAACCGGCCATGTTACGACTATTCCTCTTGAGGGACAAAGAACGGTTAATGCAGAATGGTATGCTAGCATTTGTTTGCCACAGGTCGTTTCTGAACTCCGTAAAGAGAACTGCAACCGCCGCATCATCCTCCATCACGACAATGCGAGTTCTCACACCGCACACAGAACAAAAGAGTTTTTAGAGCAATAAAACATAGAATTATTAGACCATCCGCCGTACAGCCCCGACCTAAGCCCTAATGATTTCTATACTTTCCCTAAAATAAAGAATAAATTGCGTGGACAGAGATTTTCATCACCTGAAGAAGCTGTGGACGCCTACAAAACGGTCATTTTGGAGATCTCAATTTCCGAATGGAATGGTTGCTTCAATGATTGGTTCCATCGTATGGAACAAATGTGGTAAATTTCACGGAGAATACTTCGAAAAGCAATAAATACATTTTATAATAGTAATGTTGTGTCACTTCCTTGATTCCCGAAATTTTCAGTGCCGCCCTCGTAGTAGGTGCATGTATTTAACATTTTTCTTCCCGACTGTGGTAGGTATAATTTATTTTTGGTACGTGTATTTATGTTATGTGTATCTTTAATCTTCTTGAAAATAAAATTTCTTGAAAATAAATCTCGAAATTTTGGTTTTGTACGGGAGGAATATAAAATCAATTAAAATTTTTTTTAATAAATCAATGTTTGCACCGTTGTTATCTATGTACTTTTGCCGTCTCATAGGTAGTTTATTGATCAATTTACTAAAAAAACCATAGGGGCCAGAATCAATAAACTCTTTGAAGGTGGTTTGGACTTTCGCATCGGAGTTGAATTGTTTCCATGTAAGAAGTTGTCCAAATTCCGGAAAAAATGGTAATCTTTATATTACCATTTTATTTTTATATTTTTCTATTGGAGCAAGGTCCGGGAAGTACGGTAGATATCGCAGAAATTCCAATTGTAGCTCATCTAACTTAGTGGTTGTTTGTTGTGTAGTGTGTGGTCTTGCGTTGTCGTGAAGCAGCAATGGCCTAGAGCGATTGAACAATCTACTGGCAATAGGTATCTGCCGTAATCGTTTGGCCAGATTTTAGAAAGCTGTAGTGAACGACACCGGCGCTAGTCCACCAAATACTCACAGGTAACTTTTTCTGAGTCAATTTTCGTTTAGGGTAGGATTTGGCTGGGTCTCCAGGTTTCAGCCATTGTGACGAGCGCTTCCGATTATCGTACAGTATCCTCTTTTCATCACAAGTAATGGTTCAATTTAAAATCCCTTCATTTTTGTGTCGGTTGAGCAATGTAACACAGTCGACGCGTGTTTGCAAGTTCGATTCACTCAATTCATGAGGTATCCATCGTTCAAGTTTTTTTACTTTCCCGATTTGCTTCAAGTAGATTAATACAGTTTTATCACTTACCCCGAAGCCTGTAGCTATCTCTGAAGTGCTTTGTGATGGATCCGCTTCCACAATAGCCTTTAATTATTAATTTTCCACTTTGGTCTCTGGTCTGGGGTTGGTTCTAAAGGTGGAAATTTCCAGAACTAAAACGTTGTAACCAAAAACGTACCGTGCTTTCTTTTGCGACAATACTGCCGTCCACATCATTAATCATTCGAGCTGTTTCTGCAGCACTCGTGCCACGGTAGAACTCGTACTCTTAAATATACCGATATTTCATGTTTTCCATTGTACGGGAAAAAATAACGAGAAAAAAAAACAAATCAATCACTGTTTTCAAAACTCAAATGTACCAGCTAAATTAATTTATAAATTTGAATTCTTAACCAAAGTGGAGATATTTCAGATCAAAGTGGTCAGTACGGCAAAACGCTAATTTTAAATGTAAGGACCCAATATTATTATTTTTGTGGACAAAGAGGCAAAGATCATAAATGTACATACAGTGTAAGGTAAGAATATTTAGTTTTATGAAATACGGTTTACAGCTAGTATTGTTATCTATCTGGGCTAGTATTCTAACGCACTTCTTCTGGGTAATAAATAGCTGCTGCACTTCGACGCTACTTCCCCAGCAATAAGTGTTACTTAATAATGTTACATTAAATAATAATAATCTAAATAAAAATATCAAATAAATATTTTAACTTTTACATTATATAAAAAACAATAATATTGCTTAATTAAATAATTAATATTTTCTTTATGGTTTAGTTACACATATTAAAATAATAGCAACACTAATTATTAATATTATTTATTAACAGTTTTTAAATAAATTATCCTAATTTAAAATACTTATTAAAAATTTAAACGTTTAGAATTAAAATAAACAAATATTGTAAGGTATTTTGGTGCAATTTTTAGAGTTTTCAATTAATTTTGTTATTTAGTAGGTAGGCACTGTCTGTAACAATTATTTAATGCCTTTGAGACGTAAGACTTTGATTTCTCCCGTGACTAGCGTTGTCAGGCGTCCGGATAAAGCTGGATACAGTCAGGCTTTTTGGGTGCGTTTCCGGCCAAATTAAACGGTGTCCAGCCCGGCCGGCTTCTGTTAGGTATTTAAAATTTAACCATTTTTTACATTTTTCATGTACATACTTATATACATAATATTGCAATTATCGAAATTAATATTGAATGATTAATAATAAACAAGTGTGACTTATTCAACGTTATTGTTATTTCATTAGAATTTAAGAAGATTTTTTGGCAAATAATAAAAAGCATTGTTTTACTTAAAACATGTCCGGCTAAGTTCGCTAGCTTGTCCGGCTTTTCGGTTTTAGGACCTGGCAACGCTACCCGTGACCATTTATAGCTGTAAAGCATTTGAAACGTCGGGAACCAAAAATCAAAATAAATCCGCGAGATAATCCGAAAACATAGTATTATTTAAAATGCTTATTTGCTTAAATCTAAGAAAGTATAATGCTTTCAGATATTAATTCCTATCCAATAAGTAAATATGACAAGGTATGAACTCTAAGTATAGTTAAAATATAAGTAGGTTTTATCAATATGTTACAACAATAAATAAAACAGAAAATGAATCTGACTAACATTTACAATGGAACCAACCCTGAAATCATGAAAAAATATTTACTGTTTCATACATTTGTCTAAGATAGTATAATGCTTTCATACATTAATTCCTATCCAATAAGTAAATATGACAAGGTATGAAACTCTAAGTATAGTTAAAATATAAGTATGTTACATCAATAGGTTACAACAATAAATAAAACAGAAAATGAATCTGACTAACATTTACAATGGAACCAACCCTGAAATCATGAAAAAATATTTGCTGTTTCATACATTCGTCCGAGTTAAAAACATAAATGTATGGAACAGCTGTTTTTCTTTCGCGTCAAAACATTGTTTAAGTAAGTATAAGATAAGAGATAATTTTATTATTTAACTTGATTTGCCTTGAGAATTCATTTTACTCATCAAAATGAACAAATTTTACCGAGGAACCTACTGTCTCAGAGTAATAAAATAGAGCTATTTCCATCAACAGTAAAAGTAAAATCGAACAAGCGTTTTATTTTGCTTGGAGACATAGGTAGGTTTCTTAGAAAAAACTGTTCATATTTAAATTACAAATAACCTTGAAAGTAGGTTGGTGTCCTGTTTTCTTAGAAACCCTGTGTAAGAGAGACCTTACATATAGGTCTCTACAATATTTTTCTTAGTAAAAATGGCTTTCAATATTAAAATATCTATAAGATTTATTAATTTTTTTTAGGACCCATTTCCAATATTTGTAACTAAGTGTAGTTAGAATCAACGTAAAAAAAATATAAGTAATATGATATTTATGTAGGTATAATTATTAGATAATATGTCGTAAATCGCAACTCGCAAGCGG